CTATTTTTGATGATGACTGCAATAATTGTCTCAATATACTAATCGCATCCGGTATCTCTAAATAATCCAATCATCACGAACACATTTAATGTTTCGTTAGATAATAAGCTTCAATCATATGGGTGGATGGTGTACATTTTGTCACAATAACTCGAATATGAGAACTTTCCGATAAAAAAGGATCATAATATGAAACGAGCAATTTGGAGTTAATGCCAATGTACAACTCTTCATTTGGAATATTTTGGATTAGAAGTCATGATCACTTGCGTTTTGCATAGCGATATTTTTCAAAATCAATTTTTGGAGTATGATCGTTTTTCTATTGGAATACCCCCATGAGGTAATTTACATATTTGATGAAGCTCGAATCATTCATTCGTTGTATTTAGAGTCATTTTTTCTTTTAAAAGTATTTTTACACTATATTCACTCCTTTTGAGAAATATTTCGACAACAAGAAATTAAATTTTATGTAATTCTTCTTTTACATTGGTTCTAAATTCAGATTAGGGAATATATAAATCGCCTAGAAGTCGTTAAATAATGCAAATCACCGGTTGAAAAAATAACAGATTATTCTAAAATACTCCTTTTGGTTGAGGATTGGTTTTTGTGCCAATTACGTTATTATGATGAGATAACTGATAAAGAACCAAAAAATAATATAAATAATATCTATGCCACAATAAATGAGAAAGAAAGGTTTATATCAAAATACATAATATAAATGTCAAAAGCTTTAAAGAATTGAAAATGCAAGTATTCGGTAATTTAATCCTAATTTTCATAAATATAAACCATGGCATAATATAAATATTCCAACCTTATAGAAATTCAAATATTAATTAATTGTCTATTTGCAGAAAATAGAAATATTTTATCAATCAACAACATTTAAATTGAAAAAATTACCATTATATAATTACAACCAAGTTGAATTTTGTTTGGCTTAAAATGACATTAAAAACATTATTTTTAATGGACTCTCACCTAGAAACGCTCACCCGACCCCCT